ATTTTAATAATTTTTTTGGATTTTTTTTAAGGTTTAATCTGACCGACCGATTCAGCCGATTCTTGATTCGGATCGCCGATTCGCCGATGGGTTTTTGAAATGCCCGATCTGGGTCACCGATCCGCTTTTTAAACCACTGCTTCAAACCATTCTACCTCATTACCATAACTTGCTGGAATCTGCATAAAGTTTCATGCCTTCTCATGGTTATACAAATTTTAGGATGGTTCTTGCAACCAAAGAAAGGTTCCCAGCTAAACCCATGCGATCTAATGTTGTTGCAATTGGTTTTGAACTTGTAGGTAGTGTTCCAAAAATTGCCGGCAGCACCCAGGTGGCCAGAGGGGTCTTGACAGCCCAGAGTCTGAGCGGCCTAGGTTGATTAGGAGGGTCAGGGGAATATGAGTATACATCATAAAATATTGAAAATCCCATAATCCAAAATGTTCCAAACCATTGTAAATTTGTAATAAAATAAACTCTTAGCACAACCAAAAGTAAAATATAATAATAATTAATAAACTAGTAATCTAGAGCACAATCCATAATCCATACTCCGTAGACCATACTCCATGTTCTTTAGTTCATACCATTCTATAATCCATAGTTCCATGCAATGATACAACCATACAGGCATACACACAATAGTAGATCAGTAGAAACTAGAGGGAAAAAGAAAATATATAGTCTTAAGATTCAACACTCAAGAGTCAAGTGTCTTCAGCCATCATTAGAAAAAGTCGGGTAAGCCTCATCATATGCACCGGAGTCGAGTCCATCATCATCAGAGTCATCTTCCTCTTCAACATAACGGTCGTCGTCCTTTGTTTCTTCTGAGTTAACCTCTTCCTCTTCTTCTTCTATCCCCCTCTTACTCAGTGCAGATGAGGTCCCAAGAGTCTTGACTACTTTGCCTGGTGCCTCTTCACCATTTTCTTGCTTTTTGTTTTTTCATTGAATTCAAATATTGTTTAATCTCCTTCTTGGTAGCCTCAGGAACATTTTTACATGGGTAACATCCCTTTTAATATCGGCAACGTGTTTTTTGAACTGGTAAAAATACTTATTAGTATCCTTTATATAATAACTACACCTTATACAATTTCTGTCATTCAGATTGGAGTTATGACCATATTTCCAACCTGGATCACTACTTCTAGAAGAACTTGGAGAAGATATTTCCATATAGGAAGGCTCATTTTCTTTTTTTTCTGGTTTTACTAAATTCAAATATTGTTTAATCTCATCCCTAATAGCTTCAAGAATCTTTTTACAAGAAGCGATGTTCCCTTTACTACCAGCTAGGTGTTTCTTGAATCGATTAATACCCCCATTGGTATCTTTTCACAAATATTATCTTATACAAATTTTTTCCAACCCGGATCACCACTTCTAGTAGAACCAGAAATAGGCTTATCAAATGAAATGGCGTTTGTTCCTGTTTGTGTTTTACGAAACTCATATATTGTTTAATGTCCTTTCTGATAGCACTAGGGACATTTTTACAAGGGGCAACATAGCCCCTAATACTGGCAAGATGTTTTTTGAACCGGTTTATACTCCTGTTAGTATCTTTTTCACAATAATTATATCTTATGTGATTTTTGTCTTTTGGATTGGGGTTATAATCATCATTTCAAGCTGGATCACCACTTCTAGAAGAACCTGAAGAAGACATTGAAATAACAAATAAAATATCAAATATGAAGATGTTTTTACTAACCGTTTTACTCGATCATCAATCTTTAATGTTTAAGATGTTTCCTAATCTCGTGCTACTACTGGGATAACTTCGGCCGGTGTCTTTTTGCCTTCTTGCCTCTGCTGCGATAGGCGGCTTCCTCTCTCTCTCTCTCTCTTTCTATCGCCCCTTTCCGTCCTCTTTGGCCTCCCTCCGTTTGGGGGGGCCTTTCTCTTCTTGTTGTTTTGTTCTTGGTTACTTTTCTATGTGGTGTTTTGTGTTGTATCTCTTTATCCATCAATACAATGTTAACAACATAAAAATACAATGTTAACAACATAAAAAAATGTTTTCTAATCTCAAATACTTGCCAAAAAAACCCTCTAATAAGCTTAAAAAATCATCAAAATGAAATCCAAACCAAAAAGGCAATGTTTGGATCGATTTTTTCAAAACTTTGAAAAAAGATGACAAATGCCCAAGGGGCATTTTCGCCCTTGGTGGGTGCAGGTTTTGTGCGGCTGCCTTGGGCTGGGCAATGGGCGTTGGGCCCCTGCCTAGGCAGGGTCCCAGGTGCCTAGGCGCCCTGAGTCCCCCCTCCCAGGACGCCCTCCTAGGATTGGGAGCCCAGGCCCCTGACCCGCCTAGGTGCTAGGCATGCCTCTTTTTGAAACATTGCTTGCAGGATTTGCAGACTTGGTGGCTGCTTGCCAATTAATGGTTTATGCGTTCAAAGTGTAGTTTTATGAGGTAGAAAGAGGGCAGTAGGCAAGGTTTACGCAAACAAAATGGAAGGGGGAAGCATGGTTTTTGTCAGACGGCTAAGGAGGAAATGTTTTCACTTAAACCCTAGAAAGCATGTTTGAGATTTTGGCCAAACTGCTTTCTTCACAAGGTCAGGGGTAAGTGTCCTGTCAGAAGCCTAATAGTCAAACTGTTGATCCAGCTAGGTTGGGAATGATTTTTATTGATTGTCAGAAAAGGCTAGTAGGATGACGCAATTGATGGGAGAAATTGCAGTTGATGTTTCTCTATAAGCCCAAAAAGAAATGATGGCTGAATAGAGGGATGGGAAGTAAATGCTCTCTGTAAGGCAACATGGGTGGTTCCTTTGGTGAAGAGAAATTAATTTTGGTGACATGTTCTTTTTCAGGTCCAACTTTTATGCTGTGTAATAATGGATATTTTTAATTATAACATGCAATAGGTGTAAGGATCCTTAGGCGGTTACGGGGTATGGCTGCTTTGCCTTAACAATATAGAATGGATAGTAGGAATGGGGTCGAGGTCGTGGTTGTAGCACCACCTGCGCCTCAGCTACTGGTTTAGGTTTCTATTCCCACTGATGCATTCGAAAACCACTAACTATTTTTAAAATGGGTAGGGACCTGTATTCCCCACTGATCTACCCCCCAAGAAAAAAGAAGAATGGATATTCAAAACACCACTATTTTTTCCCCACTTACGATTGCCCCTCTTACCATTGGTTTGGGTAGACCATATCCTTTTTTGCTTCTATTATATGGGAGGCAATGAGATGCCACACCTATCTTGTTAGGAACAGTTACGGGCATCTCTAGCAAACCCAGTATTAATTCCAGTATCGGTGATAGGATTTATGTATTATTGGTTGGTATGGTTTCATTTGAGTAAAATTTGAGCTGAGAGGATATATTTACTAAATTGAGGTGGTGTCTGAACCAATTGAGGATGGAGTTGAGGCTTTTGATGGATGGAGTTGATGCTTTTGATGGTTAAGTCCTTTTAGTCAATTGTTGGCGCTTTTAGTCAGTTGACGCTTTTTTTTAGTCGGTTCTCTCAAAAAAAAAGGTCCTTTTAGTCAGTTGTTGTTATGTTGTTAATGAAGCCTGTGTGCTGTTTTGGACTTAAATAGTTGGAGATGTGCTACATGATTGAGGATGAGAGGAGCTAATGTAAGTCCTGGGATCTAGGAGCTCTTCCTTTATTGTGCCTAATAATGAGAAATAGGAACATCCAAGTTTTATCCAGGGAATTTATGTAACATGGAACGCAGTGCTCATGGTTGGTTAAAAGAGTCCCCATTGAAGAGAGGGTGGTGCCTGACTTCTTCCTGAAGGAGGGAATCCATCTTGCTTTTCTACGGTCTTTAATGATAGATAGTTACTCTCGTGTTACATCTGATGACATGCAATGAATCACTCTCGACAAACTGTAGCCCAAGACAAAAGAAGATAACCTTTAGACACTCGCGGGGAACTCGTCTTTATCCTCAGTGGAGTCACATGCATTAACTGTCCTCATGAAGGTCATCAAAATGCTTACCCAGGCTACCACTAGTAAGCCCATGCATCCCTGGTGAACATGGATCTCGGATGCTGGGCTTTCGGGATTGTTTCCTTCATTATTTAGCTTTCCATTTTTGTTTAAAAAGCCTAGACCTTATCTATTCATACTTCATCTTGGAGCCTAGAAGGTACTGAAGAGTCCCTGGATGGTAAGTTGTCTTGACTGTATCTGGTTTGTGGCACTTAATTATGCTTCCTGTTGTCATTTTCGCTAAGGCATTGCACCCCTGAATGTAGGGAAATATACCTTGCGCTAATTTTATTTATTTATTATTATTATTTTTTAAAGATTCGCTTCAGACATTGACATCAGTAGATATATGACTAGAACTTGGTAACAGGTTCAGCACTTATTATCAATGATTGATTGGCAGGTGCTCCCTGGTGTTTGGGGCATCTATTATGCAGGATAGAGATCTTGGCATGTATAGCCCAGCTGAATCATCCACCAGCAAGCATCTTTTATGCGGTAACCAGTTATGTGAGAAGGGACCAAAGTGCAAAAGTCAGCAGCAGCCTTGCCCCTATGTTGTTCAGTACCTCTCAAATGATGCTTCATCTGGTTTGTTGGTAGAAGATACTCTGTCTTTGGTCACCGGCAATAAACATACGCCCTCTAGCTTAGTAAAGGCTCCTGTCATAATAGGGTAAATACTTCTGTGACTCTGTCATAATGGGTTATTAAACACTAAAAAATATGTGGTTTAAAAGGGTTTCCTGGTAATATTGCATGGATTATTATATTCAATGACCTATAATCCTTAGGCAACATTCCCATCCAATGAAATGATGGACAATGATGGATGGCCATTGAGACTCACCAATACAGGACACGGCACCAATTGTGGGTCCAATTTTTCTCCGTCGATGTCTACCATTTCATCAGATCGTTTTTGATACATTAGGCCATGTTACAGTGCATTGGATTCCAGCATACTTCCGAATACTGCATAGGTGTTTATTTATGGTAGGTGTTTAGTATGTAGGTGCTTATTATGATCATCTTATCAAAAACTCTCTCTCCCTCTCTTTCTCTCTCTTGTGATTACCAAGAGATTCTCATTGTTCTACATTTCTGTCCCGTAATCTTGTACAAGCAGATGCGGGCGGATGCAAAGTGGCAGCATATTAAATGGTACAGCCCCTGATGGTATCTTAGGCTTGGGGTTTGGGGACATTTCAGTCCCAAGCTGCCTTTCGAGATCAGGGTTGGTGCGGAATTCTTTCTCGTTGTGTTTTGAGGAAGATGACTCTGGAAGGATATTTTTTGGGGATCAAGGAATTCCAAATCAGCAGACAACACCTTTTCTGCCCTTGGAAGGGAAATAGTAAGGAATTTAATGACCTTGTGCAATTTTTATGGCTTTTGAGCATTCTTGTTTTCACATTGAGCTTAGATTTCTGTGCGAGGTCCCGGAATCTGGTATTGTGAGGTTTTCGTATTCTTACGTAGATTTCTGTGCGATGTCCCAGAGTCTGGTATTGTGAGGTTTCCGTATTCTAACGTAGAGGGAAATAGGTTATCCAAATTGTTGCTCCTCCTGTGGAAGGAGAAGGAAGGGGAAAAAAAGGGGGGGGAGGGGAGGAATGGAGGGGGTGTTGGTTGATTCCATGCATTCTTTCTGATATTGCTATATAAATTCGTGCCATTTATGTTCAAAATACACATGGTGCAATAGCTATTGTTTGGATGGCATTATTGAACAGCTTTATGTTGTTGGTTCTGGTTCCATAAAATGACTTAGGAATCATCTTTGAATAATGCTCCGAAGCAACGGGAGGTCCTAAATTTCCCTTGCCTCATAGTTCAGTATTTGTTTGTGTAACCAGTTCGGTGTTCTGTTTAAGCCAACCTTATAGGGTTGGAGTGGCACAGTATCTATTGTTTGGATGGTTTCAACAGTTGGCTTTATATTCTGCATTCTGGTTCAATAAAACAAATGATGAATCGTCCTTGGGAAATTGTTACCAATCAATAAAAAAAATCTTGCTTGGATGAAAATTTTAAGGAAAATACGGTGTATATTTTTTTCAATACATCAATTAACTTCATTAAAAAAAAAAAATACAGTGTATTTTTTCTAATATTTGATGTCCCTTTGGCTCATGGTGTCTTTGTTTTTTTTTTTTCCTGATGGTATATATTTCAGTGTTCATTTTATAAATAGTTCAGTATTTGGTATTCTGTTTCAGCGAAACCTATATTGTTGGAGTGGGTGGTATCTGTATTGGGACTGTGTGCCTCGAACAAACGGGTTTCACTTCCTTGGTGGATACTGGGTTCTCATTTACATTCTTTCCGGATGATGTGTATAAAACGGTTACGACAGAGGTAATTTTTATCTACTGTTTGCATGCAATTTCCTAATTTTTCTGCTCAAAAATTTTCTGGTGTCCTTGCAGTTTGACAGGCAGATAAACGCTTCGAGGCATCTGTATAAAGAATCTATCTTCGAGTACTGTTACAAAGTGAGGTAAATTGGCAAGATCTAATGAATAAAGTGTCCACTATAATATCTGTTGTGTATTTGTATCTTATATTTCTGATATAGGATAATCTTGCTTTTGAGTCGTGCTTCTAATTTAATATTTGTTGCAAATGTAGGGGATCACAACATCCAGAGATTCCTACTTTCACTTTGACATTTTCTTCAAACAGCAGCTTTGTGGTCTCCAGCCCCATTTTTGAGTTTCGAGGGGAGGATGTGAGTATTTGGATCATTGTTTAGAATATGGCTTTTTTTAATTGAAATGTGTCCAAATTTTTGCAAGATGGTCAAGGTAACATACATATGGGGTCGTGGTATCCATTCCTACTGCTGACACCCCTAAATAACACCTTCAAAATGTAACTCCCTAATCTATTGAAAAAATGGGTAGGGGCCTGTCTTCTCAACTGAATTACTCAAAAAAAAAAAAAGAAAGAAGAAAAAGTACAAAAAATAAAAAAATGCATATGTTGGAGAATTGAACCATGGCTTTAACTGAGAGCGATGAAATTTTTATCCCTGGAATTGCATGGTATCCAGGATAACTCTTGTTGTTTATTTTATATATCAAGATGTATTACTAGGTAGCCAATCTTGAGTGGTTGTTCTAAAGCTCATTTCTGAAACATGTAACTTTGCTAAAGATTGTATCATGATTACTTTTTCCCAAAATATGTATTTGGTCCATGTCATGTGTGTTGTTTTGTAGTGTCTGAAATATGGTTGACATTGGCTTTCAAAAACATCCAAGTCCTTTCCTTTTTGAATAGGTTTCAAATCAATACCACTCTTTTTATCTTTATTCTCTCTCCATAAATGGTATCGCTTGCGGTACGTTAACTATCTTCGTCTTATCGAAGTCTTTATCAGTAATGATAGCTGCTTCAAAGTGCCTGTGGTATATCTTTGGGATGGGCTTTTGTTATCCTTCTCTTCTAAGTAATCATGAGGTAATCCATATCTTATATGTTGAAACTGGTGATGCAGGGTGAACTGGAAGGGATCTGTTTGGCCCTGCAATCTGAAGAAGAGAATTCCGCCAATGTTCTAGGCACCATTGGACGTGAGCCTTTTTTAACCCATTTTATCTGCTATTTCTTATTTCATTTTTGTTCTCTTTCTTTTTTTCATTTCGTAATCCTTTTGTAGTTGGTTGTATGCATTTATACGCAAGTAGACCATAATCGTTGTGTTCAATCAACATCTAATGAAATTGATGGTGATGGAGAGAGAGCCTAATCCACCATTGGGTTCATCTCCCACTCCAGGACCACCATCCATTGTATGAGGGCTTCGTTCATGTATTTCTTGAATAAAGTGGCGCCTTATTTGTTTGTACAGATAATTTCATGATGGGTTATAGATTGGTGTTCGATAGGGGAAATCTGAGGTTGGGTTGGTCGCCTTCGACTTGTGATAAAATGAGCAAAGAGAATGGAGGCGTACCTGAAAACCCATTGCCTACTAATCAGCAGCAAAGCTCGAACCATTCAGGTGGGACCCACTCTGCGACTCCTGCCATAGCAGTGCGGACCCCACCATCCAGTGATCAGTCCTTTGCTGCTTCTATCACTTTTCTAAAGGGCGAATTATTTGCCGCTTTGGTGGTGGTGATTTTGTTTGGCTATTGCTGAGGCACATGGGCTCGCTTTTCTTGAGTATGTGAATGTAAATTTAGTTTCTTTTAATCTCCTTTCTTTTTGTAGTTTTGTATTTCAATTTTCTCTTGAGGTCGGGGTGCGTGTTTTGTCGCCCCATTGAGGCCAGGGTGCGTGTTTTGTCGCCCCATTGAGGCCGGGGTGCATGTTTTGTCGCCCCAATGTTGCGTTTTTGTTTATAGATATGATTTGAGTTGATGTACGCTTTCTTTAATATTTCCTATTGTGTCTATTTCTTTGGTAATGCTCTTTTGTGTACTCTCTCTTGCGCATGTGGAATTAGCAGTAAAGACTAAATGCTATCTGTGTTCATGAGTACTATAGAAAACCACAATTGTTAGGGAAATCACGTGCCATTAAAACTGGCCATGATGATATTTCAGTGGTGGTGATGGTGATGGTGATGGTGATGGTGATATATGGCATTTTCACAGTCCTTCAGATTATAGTAGACCTCTTCTATATTGGGGAAAGTGTATTGCTCTGGTTGAATTGGGGGGAAAATTGGGTTGTGTTCCCTATTTAAGAAAAGGAAGATGGCGGCCAAATAAACTTTGAAGGGGGCATTAAGCAAGGGGGCATTAAGCTTGGGCAAAAAGCTCAAGTGAATGGAGGGGATGATGTTTCTTTTAATGGAATGTTGAGATACTGATTTGGGGTGCAAATGGCTCCGACGGCTCAGAAGATTTTAAGTCAAAGGCCCGGATCTGGCTTGACAAGATGGTGTCATGTGGTCTTGAAGGGACCCAACCCGGCCCCATATGCATGCTGGGGATCCAGGCTGGGCAGCGAATTGATTTACGTCGGGTCGGACAAGGCCCCATTGTGATCAAATTAAACAAACAATTGCTTTAGCTAAACCCCCGCAAAACTCAAGCGAAAACCATACAAAATTTTAGTTTTAAGTTCAACTTTGCGAGGATGAATGAATCGACAGCAAATATGCATTGTTTTCTCATGAAAGAAAGACCGTTTATCGAAAATAACGAACAAAAAGGCTCAGATCCGTGAAAGCTCCATGATTTCTTTGTAATTTTATGGGTTATGTATTCCTATATAGATGCATAAACCATTCATCTTTTCCTCTAGAAAAGAGTAAAACCAATGGGTAAAATTATTGCTTCAAAATTTGGTATTTTTAGTTTTAAAAATTTATTTATTTACATATTAATGATATGAGTGGTGATTCTGTAGGATTTTTTCTTACTCATGTGTAAGACTTTAAAGGATCATCATTAAAGTTGGTACGGAACTCTAGAAAAGTTATTACAAGATTTGATTTTTTTATAAAATTATATCAAATTTAATGATGATCTTTTGGGGTTTTATACATATGGGTGAGAGAGGGTCTTATAGGATCATTTCTCTAATGATCTCCATATTAAAGATTATTTACTCCTTAAAAATTAAGGGCCAAAATCCATTTTAAAAATGGATTATTAAGAGGGGCAACATTTCTACGTAGAAACCGTGTCTGTTCCATAATGCTCAGAGATACATTTTATGGGAAAAAGGATTTCATGCTCCAGTGGGATTTAATGAAAGTAAAAAGACTAATAGAACAGGTATCTCCATGAAATTAAACGTAAAAAAGTTTTCATCAAGTTGTCAATGGCCAAATTCATAAGCTTGCACTATTTCACTGCTTCAAAGAGTGCTACTTTCACTTAAAAGTTACTTTCACTTAAAAGTAAGATCTCTTTCATCTCAAGGAAAACAAAGCACATTCGTCCCTCACAAAGTACCAGAGTCTAAAATAAAAAGCCCCAAAGTAACAAAGTCCAAAATAATAAATAATTGAAGGTCCGGATCCAATGCAGATTACTCAGAATGAGCAAACTATGATTAAAAAAAATAGGAGAGTCCCATGATACAAATAGAAAGCACATGAGGAACATGATGTCCAGTTCAGAATATTTTTATCCAGAGCCACAAAGAAACAACACGCAGTTACTGGGTATCGAAATTTCGCGATCCATCTCGAAGAGTTCCTGCATTTAAAGAGATCTAATACTACCATGCAAAGACCTGGCCAGCTTCATATGGAAGAGAAACATTCCAAGCTATTATGTGAAATTTTCATTATAAACATAAAACTTGGAAGATGCTTTTGATGCTTTGGATTTTAGTAACCAGCTGCTTTATCATGCTATTGCTAGCCAAATGCATGTCAATTTTTAGCAACCATAAGTATCATATCTCTCCTCATGGGTATTTACTAGAAAGTTGGAGATATAACTGGTTGTCGAGTTTTCGACAGATGGAAACATGGTTCTCACTTTCTGGTTGCTATCAGTAACTTGCTTCACTGTTAATAGTAGCATCAGCTCTTCCAAAAACAACAAACCAGAACAAATTCCGGTATATCCCATTCTAACTCCCAACAAGTAAAATCTATAGAGAACAACAATAAGGTTAGAGAGAATGTAACTATACACGTAAGTAAAATCTTAAACATCACTGCCAAGTGCAGGAGTAGCAAAAACAGAAGGCGATGTACATATACTAACTGAAATTAAAATGCAAAATGTAATAATTTAGAAGAAAAAACTAAGAAACATCCAAAACTCGGAATTCTCTTACCTTCTAAGTCGTCATGAAGTTGATCTTGCGGCTTGTGTTGTCTGCAGAGAGCTACGACGCTTGCCCCCGGTGCTTAATGCTGATTTTGATGCAATAGTGGCAACATGAATCACAAATAAATATCTTTAGCCATTTCTGAGATGGAGGCAACATTCCATTGCCGCTTGCCGCTGGTGCAGGATGTTGAAATCTAGATCTATGGAAAGATGGTTTCATCGAAATATCTGTCCTATTCTCACTTTCTGAGTTGGTTGCTAGAACTGTCCTGAATGATTTGTCAGATCTTTTGTTCTTTACCTGTCTCGAACGCAAAAACCACAACTAGAAAGAGATGCCCTGCCACCCAAACTACACAATGTTGAAAATGGATGATTCTTCATCCTTGTATTTTTGATACAAGGAGGTAATAATTATCATCGACCCTTATATTTAATATAATGGTGGAGGGATTGTTTGGGCACAAAATTCAAAACAAAACTTATTGAATGTTGTGATGCAATTTCATCTATAGGATTTCACATCCAATAGCAAAAAACAATTTTGACGTCCGTGTACAAAAAATAAAGGGTATTGTAGTATACAATTCCAAAAAAATAATGCCTTAGGGCTGCACATAGATCACCCAATTTTTGGACGGTGAGATCAAGGTATTTAGGTGCTCAAGATTTTGTTTTTTTTTTAAAAACTCAACTGTTCTAAACTGGATCCCAAAATTTTAGATTAATAAATTTCTTAGAAGTAGGTCATTTGCCCGAGAGAGTAAATATATTTTATTTTATATGAGAGCATAATATATTTGCTTTAGTTCCCTTGAATTATCAACAAATAAATAAAGTGTGATTCGATATATTAAAGTGAAATGGGAAACGTTGTTGATGATCTTCTTTGTTTCCTCTTCAGCTGATACCAACGTTTCTGATTTATATACTACTTCTTGAGTCTTGAAGGCATTATTGCCCCTCAATTGCTGGTGCCCATGGCTAAAGAGGAAGTGAAGTGAGTTGCATTTGATTTACTGTTTTTAAATGTTAAATCAATGATGTGAGAACCGGATCGGACCGGCCTGTTCGACCGGTGAACCGGTACCAAGACCGGTTCGGTTCTGTCAATGAACCGGGGAGGACCTTGAATAGACGATGAACAAGGTGAACCGGTCAGTCCACCAATTCTGCATTGAACCGACCGTGGTTCAACTTTGGTCCAAATGGCTTTCTTTTAATGAACCCGTAAATTGGTGTGAAGACCGGTCCTATTCAGTAAATGAACTAGGGAGGACCTTGAACGGGGCGATGAACCGGTGAACAGACCGGTCCATCGGTTCTGCATTGAATTGGCTAGTCCAAATGGTTTTATTTTAATATTATAGAGATTCTACAAGGCAGGACTTTCAAATTTTATTATTTTTTATTAATCAGTTAATTTCTTAGCCCGGTCCGACCGGTTGACTAGTCCGGTTCCCCCGGTCCGGCCGAACCGATGCCTTCATCTGTTTGGTCCTGACAACATTGTGTTAAATAACATCCAAACCCTATTTTGCTTCACAAGAAGCTCGAAAGTTGAGGAGATATTGCTTGGGTTCCTAATCTTACATTTCAATTCGCGGCGAGATGACAGGAAAATGATGGGGTGGGGGTTCACATAATTCCTGATAAAGAAGAAGAAGATACTAGTGCCCCTTTCAGGACAAGAAGAAGGCTTGGTGTGGTCAAGTCAATTGGAGAGAGCACTTTTTTTCCATTCATAACAAGCACTGAATCTGCAACGGACCCCTCTAGCTCGCGTCGATTATGATCAGTTATTCTCTCTTGGAGGCTTTTGGAATCAACAGGTCGAAAAATTTTGTGGACAAGGCCTTCGGTGGTGTAACAGATGCTCGACTTCTTGAAACCAATAAAAAATGATTCCAACTCCATTCAAGTTGAGCATGTTTTGGCCTGATCTAGCCATTATATGCTCCCTTCTCTAGAGACCTCTTTTAAGGGGTCCTTGTCCATATATTCTCTCAACTTGATGATCATATCCCAGGGATATGTGCAAGTGAATTTGTAGCATTTCTGTGGTTGGTGTGGCCTGAATTATTGAAGTTGCGACAAATTATAAGATGTTTCGGAGGCGATTTTATGCCTTTAAGAGCTGTAACTCGTGAAATGCAGAACTGAAAGAGTACAATTTTTAGCGCGTTTGGAGATCGATCAGTCATAGTTTTTGGTGAAGAAGGAAACTAAAATATAAGCAATGAAATAGTTTGATGGAGTAGGATCTATTCGTGTTCTCCACTGCTTGTGATCATTTTACAAAAACAACAGCTCCGTGATCATTTGAGCACTGGCCCCCTGCCCATCCAGCCCACAGACCGTCAGGGCACATTTTGCGGCCTAGGCCTTATTTCTTTAGGGCTGGGACCTTTGGGCAGTACAGGGCCGGACCTGCCGGCCCATTTCCACCCTACATACAATGTTGTCTTTGATCATTAAGTAATATCGTTGCACAAAATTGGTGAACAAGAATAGGTAAATCTAATCATTTACAAATTGAGCCTCTAATCATGTGCTTTCAAATCCAAGTTTATGGTTAGTTTTCATGGGGCGCATTTCCAGTGAGGGACCATTTATGGTTGTGTGGTCCTTTTGGGTGTCACTTAGATCCCTAAGCAGGAGATGAGGGGCCGCTGTTTT